CTGAATGAATTTCAGAATAAAGGTCCTGAATGAATTTCAGAATAAAGTTCCTGAATGAATTTCAGAAAAAAGGTCCTGAATGAATTTCAGAATAAAGTTCCTGAATGAATTTCAGAATAAAGTTCCTGAATGAATTTCAGAATAAAGTTCCTGAATGAATTTCAGAAAAAAGTTCCTGAATGAATTTCAGAAAAAAGTTCCTGAATGAATTTCAAAATAAAGTTTTTGAATGAAAGAATTTAATATCTTTCATCTCCAGTTCATAATCTGAGGGGAGTGGTGGGGCAGAGGTTAAATAATGTGGGCCTGCGATCGGAAGATCGCTAGTTCAACTCCCGGTACCGACAACATAAAAAATGTAGGTGGGAAAAGTTAATCACCCACACCTGCCTCCATCCTCATTTGCCCCACTCCGGACCCTTGAGCAAGACCCTTAACCCCCACCATCTGCTCCCCCGGGTGCCCTAGATAGCAGCTCCCTGCTCCACACAGAGGGATGTGGTAGCTCAGTGGTCTGTGGTTGTGTCAGGAAGAACATCCGGCATAAAATCAATTTCCAAGTCTTCGTGTGACTTAGTTCGCTGTGGCGACCCCTGATGAAGGGAGCAGCCGAAAGAAGAAAAATAAATAAATAAATAAAATCTCCAGTTCATAATCTGACCAACAGATGAGAAGAATCTGAGCTCAAAGGACGAGGCTGAAGGTCAAAATTGGATGGAGGTGATTTTTGAGCCCTCAGGGGCCCCTGCATTGAAACCAGGTCTGGTTCAATTCTGAGTTCAGGAACTCTTCCACAGATCATTGTCTGTAAACACAGTTCATCCACAGATGCTGCTTAAAGCTCTATCAGACAAAGAAGAAGCCAGATGTGAAGACCATCCAGAACCGCTGCTGTCGTCTCTGGACCAGAGCTCATTTCAACTGGACTGAGGTGAAGTCCAGAACTGTTCTGTGGTCAGGGAGGTCCAGATCTGAAGTTCTGTTTGGAAACCACATTCTCCGTACTAAAGAGCAGAGGGACCATCCAGCCTGTTATCAGCTCAGAGTTCAAACTGCTGCCTCTCTGATGGTATGGGGGTGCATTAGAACCTCCAACATGGGCAGCTGGCACATCTGGAAAAACTCCATCAATGCAGGAAAGTATCTACAGGTTTCAGAACATCTACTCCATCCAGATGGTGTTGTTCAGGGAAGATGCTGCAGATCAGCAGGATGATAACCTTCATGCTGCATCGGTTCCAGCAGCTGAACCGTCTGCTGCACTGCAAACCGCTCACCAATCAGATTTCAGAATCAGAATAAGCTTTATTATCATTGTACCAAAATACAGTGAGATTATTCATTCAACCTTTCTTTAGACAGATAAGTCACATTGAGCCTCGAAGACTCATGTACAAGTGAGATCTGTTTAGACAGACAAAAAAGTAGTGAAACTGGACACGTAGGATTTGGAGGCAAAAAAATTCCTATCAGACTCTTTCTTCTTGGCTGAGGAGAAAAACTCTGATATTAAAAAACACCTCACACAAACAAGCACATAGTGACGTAGACATTCCGCAGGGGGAGAGATGACGAGAGCGATGAGCAATGTTCAAGGATGCACTCGAGGGCACCGTAAGAGTTCTGATAAGGATGGAATAATCAACCAGTACCCGGTGAGATCCATAAACATTCTCGAGGGATGTTGGGGAATGGCCAAGGATAACGCCTATGGGAATTGAAGAGTTCTGAAATGATGACACAATGTTTATTCAGCTGGTTACATCTGGTTATCAGTTGGAAATTCCTCGATGGTAGGGGGAGGGGTGGGGCAAAGCGTCAGATCACATGTTCTCCAGGCAAATTCAGATGAGATGGACTTCAAGGTCAGCCAGGGGAGTCAAATTCAGATAAACACACAGTTGTTTTGGGGACAGACAGAACTTAATGACATCTACCTTGAGTCTGTGTTGGTCCACTCGGGTTCCGAAATGTCCAAATTACATGGCCACACCAAAAGAACATGCCTGAGTAAAATCCCTGAGATCTGATCCATTCTGCCAAAAGCATTTGAGTCTGGGTACTCGAGGCACGAACCAAGCCATCATAAAGGCAAGCAGCGTGATCGGGTCCAAATTTGCTGCAGACGACTTCCTTGTTTGTAGATAAACCAGAGACCAGCCGAATCCAAAAAGCAGGAACCAGCTATTGTAAATCCAATTATAAATGTTTCCTTAAAATCCACAAATGGCAGCAGAGATAGACACATCATCAAGTCCTCAGGTCGATGAGATATCCAGCTGCGTGAGTGCCAACAGGGCAAATCGGCTCGCCCAAAGCCTGTCTTCTCATCTAAGAAATTGTATCCATTGTGTTGAGGGACCAACTGATCAAATCAAGTCCACAATTATGGTTCGGAAGACATGCAAGAGAGGCTCAGAAGCAGTTTCACCGACAGACAGAGCAGCAAAGCAAAGCAGAGAGGGAGAGGAGGGGAAACGTATCCGACCTCGGCGAGAGCAAGTGGTGAATTATGTTCGTACAGACGTCCAAAAGATGGGCGGAGTGCACATTTTTCCCCCCCCCCTTTTTTTATCTAAAAAAGTACTCTGAAAAAGGATAAGGGGCCGCGCTACTGTAGCAGCAACAGAGTACTTTTTTAGATATAAAAGGGGGGGGGGAATCCATGAGGATAAATAGTGGTATTACAAAAAAAATCTCTTCACACCACACGATTAAAGACATCAAAAAACTACAAGCAGCACATTTATAAACACATTACATATGCATTTGATTTTTAAACTCGGCATTAAAATAATAAAACTCGAGTAGAACTCGAGTACTTGATGACTTCATAGGATCTAAAGATACAAAAATAAATAAAACAGCAAAAAAGGTCATTATTTACAAAAAAAGACCAACAAAATGTGTGCGTATATTATGCTCCTACTATTTATCATACTGCAAATAAGTCAGAGGAAAACTAAACTATTAGTTATTATTATTAAGCTGCAAAACTGAAAGAAACTTGCAGCACATCAAAAATGAAACTTAAAAACAGTGGGGCGGACGACCACCCCGCACCACTGCCAGCTGTGGTGCGCATTAGGTTTAGTTTTAGAGATTAATATGGTTATATGTTTTTTTATAGGTTTAGAGATTAATATTTTTTGCTTTTAGTTTGTGAAACAAGGTCAGAGGAAGCTGGTTCTGGTTCGGTCGATTGGACCCGGTGTTACACCATATTCTGTGACCTGCAACAGTGCATGCAACACCGCCCCCTACAGTCACAATATACAGCGGTCACAGAATATGGTGTAACACCGGTTCGCAACGATCTCCAAAACAGTCAGGAAGTTGATTCATTTTCTGTTTCCTTATGGTAGTTAAACCGGAAGATTCATCTTTAGTGAAATATTTCCAAACTATTGATGCATTTCTATCTGTTTGACAAGACTGGGCCTGCTCCGCTCAGTCCATCTGCTGGGAGGAATCCATTATGTAACCCGCGCCCATTGCGTATCACGTGACGCATTGATGTAACGGTGACGCAATGACGTCACCACGAATACTCGACGTGAAATTAAAAAACTTGATAGATGTCCTAAAAATCGATGTGTAGATTACTTGAGTAGTCTGTTAAAGCCCTAATAGACATAGCTTTTCCTTACTTTACACATAACCCAGGAGAAATTTGATGTCAGCCTCCTTCCAGGCCAAATGGGGGAGTCAGATTCAGATACGCCACAATTGTTGATTTTTCTTGTTAGCCTTGAGTTCTGCTGGTACTCGCAATCCAAAATGGACAGATTTGTGGACATGCCACAGGTCCGTGCTTATAAGCTCCCTTCAAGGTCGTCCCCAACATGCTGGCGAATCCCAGAAGTCGCAGGTGGGCTGCGATTCTCACAAAACTTCCAACTTATGGTTTAGCTTGTAAATCAGCTGATTTTGAGTTTTCGAAGCACAAACCAAACCTTCACACAGGGTTGACACTTTTGTCATGACCGAAACTGCAGCTGTCTTCTTCAATAGCCAATAACATACGAACCACCGATGCCAAAAAGCAGAAACCCTGCTATCATGATTCCAGTGATATAAACATCTTTGGCATCCTCCTGAGACAATACAGAAAGACACACCAGTTCCCAAACTCCATGATGTATCCAGCTTCGTGTGTCTCAGCGGGGCATAAGGGCTCTCTAGGACCCTGTCGCTTTGTTGAAAATATTTTAATGACTGCGTTGAAAGTCCAGCTGACTAGATCCATGACAGTAGTTTTAGTTTTGGAAGATGTGTAAATAGGAGCGCCGATACACAGACAGAGAGCAAAAAAAGCAGGAGGAGGACAGGAGAGCAGGAGGAGGAAGAAAAAGTGTCCGCCTTGCATGAGAGCGAGTGAGGAAAAAATTGTGTTTTTATTGCATTTTATACCACATGACGACTTTTTGAATTAGGTTTGTAAACTGTATTTGATATTAGAATGACACAGTTAGAAATTAAACTCAGCTGAAGTTATAAAAAGACATATGATTCAGTTTTATTTGTAAAATAAATCATGATTCGTTTCCCCCTCAGTGTAGCTCAGTCTCACCTCTTCAGGTCGCGCTCCGGCTGAACAACTCTCCCCACTTTAGCCATTTTCTTCATCGCCTCCTGAAATATAGATTGCAAAATTAAATGCCACTTACCGGTAATAAACCATGCTGCCCATGCTCTAGTCTCACATTAACCATGACCTACTTTTTGTACAAACACAGCAGAACTACATGTTGTAATCAACCTTTGCTGTCTAAACCAGCAGAGTCCAGGCAGCCGAGAAGATCAGACACAACAGCCTGCTGTCATAACGTGATGAACTCTGTGACCCTGGTGAAAATGAATCCTCAGCTCCATTCTGAATCATAACTACATGAAATCACTTTGTGTGTGTAGTTTCAGAACATCCAGCAGATGGAGACACTGAATTTCCCATTAATTCAGTGTTGTTCCACAGCTTTAGTTTTGGTTCTAATTGGACCAAAAACTGTAAAATTAACTGTTCGTAAATGAATACATGAATACAAGCACTGAAATATTCAGTCACTTACCCATTTACCCATCAGGGAATATTTTATAAACTTAATTACAATGAACCTTTTATAAAAGTATATACTGTGTGTCAGGGGTGTCCAGACTTTTTCATCATGGAGCTCCTTTTAAAATGATCAAATCAAAGTGATCTACCTGCTATAAGGCCCCGTTTACACGAGAACAACCTCTGGAAACTTTAGTGTTTTAAAATGAGCGGGTTTACACAAAAACACTGTAGTTTCCATGTCAGTCGGGTTGCCAGATAAGAAATTATGAAGTATATTACTGTGGCTTTAAAATGATAGTATTTTGACCTAAGCTGTCATGTGCTGAGTAAAGAAAAGATGAGGTGTGTGTTGTGTTTGTTGAACATGTGCACAGAAAAGGAGGGGGTAAATAAGACGTTTTAAATTTATCTGGTAACCCTCATGGCACATGCAGCTTCTCCATGATCACAGTTACCTCCAAACTGGTGAATACATCAACGTCTCTTTGGAACTGGATTTTATAAGTTTTGCTCCTACATGCTGAAAATGGCTGAGCAGCACAAAAACTCTGCTCTCTGACCCAGCATTTTTCAGTCAGGTCATCTGGACAGTTTCCTCTGTTTTTTTTGTGCTGAAATGTTTTGCCTTCAATCCTGAAGCCTTCCGGATCGAAAGCGAAACATTTCAGCACAAACAAAAAAAAAAAGAAGAAACTGTCCAGTTGACCTGACTGAAAAATGTTGGATTGTATACCTGGATAATTGAGCATGGACTTTGTTGTCTGCTCTCTGACATTTATTATAACTGTTGTTATTTATTATAACTGTTGTTATTTATTATAACTGTTGTTATTTATTATAACTGTTATTATGTATTATAACTGTTGTTATTTATTATAACTGTTGTTATGTATTATAAC